GTAAATGTGGAAGTCCTTCAAATATTTCTTATCCTGTTGTGCCCTCTATAGGACCAGTGACTAGTCGACGTCAAGCTTAAAGCGTCATGGCAGAGCATTGAAGTCGATTAGTCGGTGCAACCCCTAATATGGAGTACTTTTTATGATGAATGGATGCACTTTTTTGGGCTTCAAAATCTCGACCCCCATTTACTGCCATTATAAAGCTTGGAGGAGCCAGGATATTTTTTTAGTTAAACTTTGATTGCATTCATCTGAAAGAAGAAAGTCATATATACTTAGGAGGATGGTTTGAGAATGAGGAAATCATGGGGTAATTTTCATTTTTGGGTGAACTATCCCTTTAATTTATCACTTGAAAACACGAAACCCTCAACAGCATATTGATTTCAATTTCCAAATTACCCAAATTGATTGGGGTATAGCAATATATTGAATGTCACACATTTGAGCCATGTTTATGTTTATTTATGTTTAATAAATTATGATAATTAATAAATTACAAATAAAATGTTTAATTATATTTAATAAATGTATTTATATTTAATACATTAAAAATAAAATACATTGTTTAATAAAATACAATTTTGAAAACTTTTTAAATGTATGTATTCAGGGACAGAGCGCAAGCGTGTGTCTAGCTAATTATGTATTATCTAAACAGAATTTAGCAAAAAACAAATATAAAATTTTATTGAACATAATTTTTAACTGATTATGATGTCTAGAGGTAATGATTAAAAAAACACATTTTTACAAATTTAGAATTTTGACTTATTTTGTTTTGTTTAAAGTATTGCGAGAGTATTTTGTATTGTGAGATCTTGTATCAAACCGAGTGTATTGTTACTCCCCTACAAACTGAATTACCCATTTTCATTTACGGTTTCAGTTTTTTATCAAATTAAAACTTTAATTTCGGAGTGTTTCAGTAAAAAATGAATTTGGTGTATCACTGATTTTGTCCCTTCTGCTCATGTTTCCTTTCCCCGCCTCTCATTATATTGCAGGGCGAGCGAAAGGCATGGCTCCTACCACCTTCTTTTGTGGTGCTTCCTTTGAATGTCAACCTGTATGTTTACACACAAGCACTGCCCTTTCTCTCAGTATTTTAAAGGTTGCATGGAGGAAGTGAAATCCCCTCAGCCCTTTGCAGTCTCCCCACAGAGCACTTCAAATTTTAATTTAGCAGCCGATCTCCTTGGCTCTACTGTAAGCTCACTGCTATTTGTCCAAATTGACGGAAATATCTCTCTACCCGTAACGCGCATCCCTTGGCCTCAGTCTCTGTGCCAGCGAAGGTTGTCAGCAAGCCCTCTGTTCTGTCACAGTTGCGTCTCAATGTCAGGATGTTGTGTTTCCACTGTCACCCGTCCAACCGTTGTAATTCTCAGCTGTCAGGCCAGTTACAAGATGCTGAATTTGAAGTAAAAGTGGAAAATTGTCCTCGAGAGCCTCCCAGAGAGATTTGAATGTTTTTGGGGCAGCAACCCAGAAGGAATCTGACAGTACAACAAACTAAGAGGAGAACAGTTGAGCCGAGGAGACATTACATCATACAGATTGTGCTTGGAGGCAGATATAGTGCTCTGTTTCAGCAGATACCTCTTTGAGAGGATGTGCTATATGTGTATTTAGAGTCTCATTCATTTACAGAAACCTCCGGAAGTCAGAGAGACTGAAATAGTCACACTAATAGCAACTTTTTACAATATTCATGCGGCTCAGATTGAATAATCCTTCTAATGTGCGGCTCTCCATTCCAAACTTTGAAGTTTCTTGCAGCGTCAGTGCCTGCAGTGTCTTCCAAGCTGCTGTCCCACTAATGATATATGTAAAACAGGAATTTTTAATCTGTTATGAGGAATTTTAATTGTACTATTTTGCATATTTATTTATAGTTTTTTTTTTTTTTTTCTGCTGCTGTTAAGACAATCAAAGCTTGTTCTATTGCTCATACATCGGTTTTTCCAGTTAGTGGTCGACTAATATGCATTTTCAGTGGCCAATACTGATAACAAAAGAGTGAGGGGTCTGATATGCAGATAACATATGTGATAGGCCTAAATGTTCAAATCAAAAATACAGTACAAGTATTATCACTACAGTTTAAAATAACATTGATATTTGAATATGTTTTTAAATGTAATGTCATCTTTCAGAAATCATTCTAATATGCTGATTTGATGCTCAAGAAACATTTCTTATTGTTATCAGTGTTGAAAACAGCTGTGCTGCGTAATATTTTAAAAGAAAGCAATTTGAAATATACATTTTTTAACATTATAAATGTCTTTACTGTCACTTTTCATCAATTTAATGCATCCTTGCTGAATGAAAGTATAAAATTCTTAAAAAGAAAAGAAAAATCTTACTGATCCCATACTTTTGAACGGTCGTATATAGTAATATTGGCTTAAACAACCTAATTAATGGTTGATGCAGTTGAGCTGTGTATCTATATACTGAAATCTATATACTCGACTGATGACAAATATCTGCCATTTTGAGCTGTGGATATATAAATGTATATCTAGATTTTTGTTTAGATTTATATAGTTTACATCTACATAATTTTCTTTTTGATTTTTATATTTAGTGCCACTGCATTGTGTCACACTCCAACACCAGAATAAGTCTTATGTAAAGGCATTCAAACATGTCCGATCAGATGAACCTAAACCCAGCCTAATTATACAGGACTTTAAGTCCAGTTAGTTGACCATTAATTCAGGGAAGCCACCAATTGTTTTTGAAAACATAGTTTTGCACATCCTTACATGCCATAAACAAGCATGCATATTTCACCTCCAGGGCCTGTTCACTGAACACTGTCTGTGTTCATATCGTAACCTCAAAATACCCTTTCTCTGCCCACCGCCTTGGTGTGCTGTATTTTGAGTCTTGGCAGGCCTAATTGGATGAAGTGGAGCATGCTGTAATGTGTTGTCATGGTGAAGCAGCGCTGGGCTGTAATGTGATTTGCTGTAGTGGCAATCAGGGCTGTAAATTCTCACCGATGGAATCGGGAGTGTGTCAGAAGCCCAGTGTGTACTAAACGTAGGTGTGTATCGCCCAAAGCCTGCGATCCAGAGGAGGTACACACCGTTGCCAGCTGATATCCACTGGCATACACTTGACTTCCACACAGACAGTCGGGAGAGGAACTAGAGCTGAATTGATCAGTATTGATGGGCGGGAGTCTGTCAGGCCATAATGTTTGCCGCCGCAGGGAATGTTTGTGTGCTGGAGCGCGTCTCCTCCTGTCCCTTCAGTATGCGAGTGTGTGTGCGTATAACAGGTCAGGAACACACACGCTTTCTATCTTTCCCTCCAAAACAGCGTGTGTCTATGCAGGCAACGTCTGTGTGCGATAGATAAACCCAAAATTCATGAGCTATGAATCAGGCTTAGGCTGCCTTTGATGTCCCATACTACGAGGAGACATTCCAAAGCCTTCTGTATTTGTGTGTGTGTGAAGAGCGAGCCGTATTAGCGGTACGAAGGCAAGAGCAGCAGCTGTCAGTTATACTCATCAGCTTTGCTTCGACTCTATTGTCTGAGGAGACAGTGGGTAGATGCCTGCAGGTTGGCAGTGCCACACACACGTGCCGCATCTACTGTTATTTCACACATGGATGTTGTATCGCACCTCGTGAGCTGTAATTCATAATATCAAGCTCATTATTTTGACATGTGCCATGTCATTTTCTCTCTCTGCTGTGTTTCTCTTTCTGATGCTCAACAAGGCTCGCTGACGCACATATATAACAATTAATGATAGCTTGGCGAGCTGCTGCTTCTATAGCAGCAGGTAGTAACAATGCTAACAGCTCACTCTGGTTTCTTTGACAGATCACTCCATCTTCTGACAGCTTGGTGACGCCCACAAAAGGAACTGACTGGCCCGTAACTCATGGCTTCCTTGGTACTGGGACTTTCTCTGGTAAAATATTCACTCACACATGACTTAAAACTGGGAATTCACAGTGTTGCATTATACTCCAAGTTCCCTTTTTTTCCCTAACTTCGTGAGCTCACTTCCTAGACACTATGTCTGATTAAACATATTTGGTTTTAGACTCTAAATCTATATCGTTGAATTGTTTGAGCATCATAGGCATGTTGGAACATTTGATTTGTTGACCCTCAAAACTTAGTGAGCTGACTATCTACCTAGGAAACAATTTTGATCATAGACAAGATGCTGAATCATAAACATGTTGTAACATTCAAGCTGACATGTTCAGATCCAGGTTCAAAACCTAGTAACCTTATTCTAGTAAGCTTACTGCAAAGACAGCATTTTTGAGCATCATTGGCATTCAATTTGAAATGTTTGATTCAGCATGTTCGATTAAACGCTCAAAAACTAGTCACTGAGCTGACTACTTAGTGCTACTTTAGTGCTCAGTACAGCATTTTTGGTTACATTTTGGAATGTCCTCTTTGAAATGATTGATTCATTATTTTCGATTTAACATTTAAAACCTGGTGAGCTAGATGGCATGAGCAGCATAAACACATTGGAACATTTGGTTTGACTTGTTTGATTCAACATTCAACTTGGTAAGCTGACTACGTAGACAACATTTTTGAACATCGTAGACATTTTGTAATGTTTAAATTTACATGTTGTTTTTTTTTTGGTAATTTTATTGCCTAAACAGCACCTTGAGCATTATTAGCACGTTCAGTTACACATCTTTGATTCAACACATTTAACTAAATTTTGGAATGTTCAGTTTGAAATATTTGACTAGGTGTCGACCAATATGTGTTTTTCAGGGCCGATACGATTATTACAGTTCAAGTAGACCGATAACCGATATTTTGAACCGATATGTATGTCTGGTGTAAAAATGAAAATGTCAAAATTAAGAATAACAAGGGCTATTTGTAGGGCTATATATAAACAAGAGTATTTTACTTACCCCACTGGCAGATTATTTTACTTTTTTAAAGCAAAATGCACTTAATTTATTTATCCCCTGGAATCAAGACTAAATATCTTATGTCATTTTGCTTATCTAGTAAAAGTATTTTGATTTAAGAATTTTTAGATATTTTGACTAGAAACAAGACAAAAATACTAAGTAAGATAAGCCATTTTTTGCAGTGTTGTAACATTGACATGTTAGAATTGTTCAGTTCAACATATTTGATTCAACACATTCGATATGATATTGGAATGTTCAATTTGAAATGTTTGATTCAATATATTTGACACTCAAAACTTATTGAGCTGATGTTACTTATTTTTCAGTAACATAGGCATGTTGGAACATTGAATTCGGCATGTTTGATTTGACCCTTGCTACCTAAATGACATAACATGTCATAAATAGACATGTTGGAATGATTGACATGTTCGATTCAACATGTTTGGTTTCAGACTAAAGATGTTTGAGCACCAAAGGCATGTTGAAATGTTTGATTTGACTTGTTTGATTCAATTTGCAACTTAGTGAAATGACTCCCTCCCTACCTAGGCAACATTTTTGAACACCATTGACATGTTGTAATGTTCAAATCTACATGTTTAGTTCTATATGTTTGATTTGACATATCCGTTTCTATTTTAGAATGTTCAGTTTGGAATTCTACACTTGTTGGAATGATTGAGATGGTCTATCTATTCAACGCTCTGTTTCGAAGTCAAGGCCTAGTGAGCTCACTACCTAGATGCCATTTTTAAGCATCATTTACTGTTCAATTCGACACTCAATACCTAGAGGCAATACACTTTTAGGCATCATTTATGACCATTAAATTTGAATGTTCAACTTGAATGTTTGAAGAGGCCTATGAAGCATAAAAATGCTGTCTAAGTAGGCATCTTAAGAGGTCCTGACAGCTAGTGTGAAACCGTTACAAGCTTTTCCTTCAGTTGCGCATAAGAGATGTTTATTGGTATAAGGGTACTGTTGAAGAGATAAACAGACAGAAGGCCACTCCCTGACGCCCCACCTGGGAGATTTTCAGCCTGCAGCCTCATCTGTTTGTTTCGATACTTGATTTGTTTGCTGACCTGTTTTTCCTCTGCCTTGTTGTGTGTTTGTGTGGTGTGGTAATGGCTCGTCTCTCAGTGACCTGAACAAAGCATGTCTATGCGTGTGTTTGTACTGCTGCATTTAGGAGCCCTGAGGACAAACTGGTGTTTCAAGTTTTGTTGCCCTTGAGCAGAATTCACTTCCTCCTCCTCATTTTTTCTTGTTCACCTTCTGGAGTCTTCCAAAAATCCTGAGATTCTGGTTTCCTGGCCAATCATGTGTGAATACTGCCAAGTTGTCTTAAACGTGATTAGGTGTTTATATGGCTTACAAGGTCGTGTGTATTGCTTGGATGGTTAAATAAATGGGTCAGTACTTAATTTTATCGCCGTCAGGTACAATGTGGATAGTTGTCACCCTGTTTTATAATAATACTAATCCTGTTTGTCTTAGCCATGTGCTTAGGACTCTCAGATTACACATGTTCTCTTGCTTTGACTGTCACATTCACAAACCTGAACACCTGTGCACTATTTGATCACATGCCAGCCAGATGGCACACATGGGCATTTCCTAGTAACCCGCTGGCCTCCTGAGATCATCATTTTGTGGTGTTAGTATGACGTAATTGGATACTAGGGCCTATTACAGATGGGTCAGGACATCCACCAACCAACTAGTTGGTTAATGAGGTTGACGGTTGATGTGGCATTTTTATTTTCAGGCTCAAAATATTGTAACATTGGCATGTTGGAATCTATCATAGGGGCTTTCGTACCAGAGGGACCTTTTCATTGTTTCTAGTACCAATGAAGGAAGTTTCAGGAACTGGAAACTAGGGCTGTGCGATTTGGGGGAAAATATCAAATTGCGATTTTTTTTTACAGATATTGCGATTGCGATTTGATTTGCGATTTTATTCGATTTCGATTAATCGCACAGCCCTACTGGAAACGAATTTAGTTCTAGGAACATTTTTTGGGAGAAACTAAATTCGCTTCTACTTCAGTAGGGTCTTACCCAGCACCATTGACGTAGTTGTACGTTAATTGGTCGAATGCATGCCATACGAAATAGCACCCCTTAAACATGGAACAGTATTTTAAAGGTGGGGTAAGTGATTTCTGGTAGCCAATGTTGATATTTCAAATCACCAAAACAAACACGCCCCTACCCCAAAAGGGTATCACCCCTATTTTGATAGCTCTGCCCCACACATACGTACGCAACCCAGGCAACGATTAGTTCTGTGAAACAAAGAAAAACTGCTGCTGCGTTCTATTTATGACGTATTGACAAAAATTTCAGATTGATTTTCAACGGTCGCTTTTAGGGCTGTCAAAAAAAATTTCGAATATTCGTCGAATTTAAAATAAAAATCCACATTCTAGTACAAAATTCGAATTTAGGTTTTCAGCCATTTTGACAGCCCTAGTCTCATTTGTTGCATCCAGTGTAGATTGACTTTAGCTGTTGCGGACAACTGTTGCGTCCGGTGATGATACGGATGACACATCTTTCTGTCGCTCGGCTAATGTCCGTCCTGTGCACTGAGCGCTCTCTCAACCAAGCTGTTCACACAGAGCGCATATTTATCACATTTTCTAGAGGGACATCTATCACCGTTACACTCGCATCTGGTACAAGACATAAACATATACAGAAAGCTAATGTTAACAGCATTTATATGTCACACAACTTATACATCGTCATTCCATATCCATTATCACGATTCCCATTACACACAACAGAAACACAGCTCCGATCACAGCATCCTCCATTCTCCAGTTGTTGACGTTGTTGAATTCCGCACTTAAATGATGTCGTTGTTGGCCGGCTTGAGTTACTTCAGAATTCTTACTGGCAGTGTGAAAGCAACCAGGAAAATGGCCCAAGGAGAACATTTAGTTCTTGGCTTCTTCCTTTAACTAAGTTCCTATAACTACCCAGTGTCCTATAAATAGGGCCCTATGAAATCCATTTTATTTTTTCCCAAATTCCTTTTTTTCCATTTACTTAAAAAAACTATTTAATTAATTTTCTTTATTTCAGTAATGCTGTGTTGTGTATTTACATTTTTCTGGTAATAAAATATTAATTTATCTTTTAATCAAATGAAAATTAAAAATTTTTTTTTGGCAAACAAAACATGGAAGAAAATTGGGATTATTCCTTTAAAAAATCATGTTTAATAATAATTTTATTAATAGTAGTAGTACTATTATTATAAGTCATATATTTCAGTCACTTTCTTCAAGTTAAACTGAACTTTTATTTTGACGGGTTGCGGTGAAGACTTTTAAGTTTCTGTTTTTATATGGTATGATGGTTTTTATATGCTAGGATAATTTTCTCAAATGAAACGGTAATATACTCATGAAGTGACTCTCAGAGCAACTCTGGAGATGATGTTCATGACTGCAGAGGCTGAAAACACCGTGAGCGTCACATGCTTCAGTATGTGTGTAGTAAATGAAACTGTGAATCTGTGCCATTCATTCACACAGAGACATGTGTAGAACATGCAGGGTTCATATTTAAATAGTCTTTTTGTGGCTTAATAATCACAGACACAAGTTCGTGTGCTTTTGATTTATTCATTCAAAGTTTGGTCAATTCTATTTTTATGACTGGATTCCATGATTCCGTTTGCTTTTTTTGCATCACGGAAATCATAGGGCCCTACCTATAACACATTCAGTTGGATTTTGGAATGTTCATTTTGAAGTTTTTGATTCAGTATGTTCGGTTTGACACTCAAAACCTAGTGAGCTGACTATCTAGACCATGTTTTTCAGCAATGTGCACATCAGAACATTCGATTCTGAATGTTTGATTTGACCCTCGCTACTTAGACAACATTTTGTTTTACAAAACATGTTGGAACAGCAACTGTTTCTTTGTTCTTTTTTGCTTGTTTTTATCTCACATGATTTTAGTGGCAGTTCTTTAA